TTATTTGGCTAGCTAGTGTTGTGTCTATTTTGGGTATTTTAAGTTTAGGGGTGAAGATATTTGATTGTTTGCAGTTTTGTTTAAGATTTTTAATTTGGTGTTCATTTAGGTAGTTTGTTATTCTTTGGGATATTGGGGTAAGTAAGGGGTGTTTAGGAGCTAGAGCTTGGTTTTTGGGGCTAATGTTTTGGTTTATTAAGTTTTGGATGAGAGGGTTTGATTGGGACGCGGCCCAGAAATTTAAGCTTAGCTGTTCCCTGCGTAGACTTAGTGGCATTTCTCCTGTTAAGGCCTGAAGTGAGGTGTAGGAGGTGCCATGTTGGGTGCGTGTAATTAGTTTGAGAGCCTGATATTGTATTGAGTCAAGTTTTTTAGATAGAGAGTTGTTTAGGGTGTTGTATATGGCGCAGCCGTAGTCTAGTTTTGATCTAATTAGTGATATGTAGAGAGAGAGGAGGGTATCTTTGGATGCTCCCCAGTTAGAGCCAGTTAGGCATCTTAGGGTGTTTAGGTCTTTACTGCATTTAGTTGTTAGGTTTTGGATGTGAGCATCCCAGGTGAGATGTTCATCGAAAATAAGTCCTAAGAATTTGGTTTGTTTTTGAAATTTGATTGTTTGATTGTTTAGCTGGAGGATTGGGGAGGCGGGTTTCATGTTTTTATGTTTGAATACTATTCCTGTTGTTTTTTCTGAGTTAAGGGAGAAGCCCCATTTGTCAGCCCACTGTTGTATTTTATTAAGAGATTTTTGGAGTAAATTTTGGACCATGTTCATGCTTTTAGTGCGGCTCCATCATCCGCGAATTTTGATGTGTTTACTTTAGGGGATAGGCCCTCGAATAGATCGTTTATCATTATATTGAAGAGGGTGGGGCTGAGGATACTGCCCTGTGGAGTACCATTTTCTAGGGGACATTGGTCCGATAGAGTTTGGTCTATACCCACGGTTATTTTACGATTGTTTAGGAAGTCCTGGATGTAGTTTATTATCTGACCTTTGAGTCCTATTTTTTTAAGTTTTTGTATTAGCCCATCGTGCCATACCATGTCGAAAGCTTTAGAGAAGTCTAAGAAGATGCCTGTGGTATATTGTTTATTTAGCTGTCCTGTCTTAATATCTTGTTCTAGTCGGGTGAGGTTATCTAGGGTTGAGCGGCCAGGAGTGAAACCACTTTGATCTGGGTTTATGATGTTATTTTGGGTTAAGTAATGTTGTAATCTATTTTTAGCCATTGATTCCATTACTTTACATAAGTTTGAAGTTAGGGATATTGGTCTATATGAGTTAGCTTGATTAGCTGGTTTATTAGGTTTAGGGATTGGTATGACTAGGGCCTGTTTCCAGGGAGTAGGAACCTGTCCGTTTAGGTAGATGAGATTGTATAGTTTGAGTAGTGCCTGGAGTAGTTTTAGGGGGAGTTTTTTAATTATTTGGTAAGAAGTTAGGTCTAATCCTGGGGCTGTGCCCTTTTTCCTGTTTTGGATTACGTAGAGGAGCTCCTCCATTGTGTAGGGTTGATTTATTTCTAGATTGTTATTGTTTGGTTCTTTTGTGGGTTTGTTTTCTGTTTTAAGTTTATCTTGGAATTTTTTACTGAAGTTGGTGTTACTGCTAACGGCCGAAAAGTGGTTGGCGAGATTATTTGCTTTTTGGGCGGGGTTGGTTAAGTTGTCAATGTTAGGGGTTTTTTTATGTCGTTTTAAGCCTCTGATGGCGTGGATTTTGCGCCAGACCGTTCTGGCATCTTTAATTGATTTGAAGCTTTTAGATAAATGCTAGCCTAAGGTATCAAGATCCCATCTCCCAGACAAAGGATATTTATTTAAGTATATCTGTCATCACCTACCGGGGTATATTAGAATAACATTACTTCAATTAAGACTCATTAAGGATTAGCCCCCATACAAGCTCGTCTATAGTGCATTAAGGATTAGCCCCCATACAAGCTCGTCTATAGGGCATTAAGGATTAGCCCCACACAAGCTCATCTATAGTGACACCCTAATCTCTTTCAAAGCATCCAGTAAATATGTCAACAAGATTAGTGCCAGTCCAACAGGATAAACAGGATTTAGTATTCCCCTCTGTCTAGCCATCCATTTAGCTTAGGACACAACCAATCGTGTATCAACCAATCACATTCCTTTTTATTGTTCAAATTTTTGTTAAATACATACTGTAGGCAGGGGAGCCTCTAAAGATACCCTCCTCAGCCTCTACACATCCCTAATCAGATCTAAACTAGACTACGGCTGTGCCATATACGATACCCTAAACGAAACCCTAACCAAAAAACTAGATTCAATACAATATCAAGCCCTCAAACTAGTAACACGTACTCAACATGGCACCTCCCTCACATCACTTCAGGCCCTTACAGGAGAAATGCCACTAAATTTACGTAGACAACACTAAACACTAAACTTCTGGGCAGCATCTCAATCAAACCCCCTTCTCCAAAACATGCTAAACCAAAACATACGTCCCCAAAACCAGGCACTAACTAGAAAACACCCTCTACTCACCCCAATATCCCAACGAATAATAAACTACCATAACGAACACCAAATAGGAAACCAACAACAAAACTGCAAACAATCAAACGTATTCACCCCAAAACTTAAAATCCCCAAAATAGACACATCCCTAGCCAACACAATAAACAAACAAACCGACCCAAACCTAGCTAAAAGCACATCACTAGCTTACATCCATCAAAAATGGCCAAATTGGTGTCACATATACACAGACGGATCCGCTGATCCGATCACAAATCACACAGGTTTCGGAGTCCATATAGCCCAACCAGTCAAAAATACTCAATCCTTCCGACTCCCAAACAACCAATCTATATTCACCGCAGAGCTCATGGGTATCGCCACGGCGCTCCACAGCCATCACACCAAAAACCAAAAAAAAATCTTAATACTCTCAGACTCACTAAGCGGACTTCAGGCCCTCCAAAACAAAAACACCAAAAACCGCCCCAAATTATTAAACCAAATTCTCAAAAGCGTAAACAAACTAACAGAGGCAGGCAAAAACATACAACTTATCTGGATACCAGCTCACGTAGGAATTTACGGGAATGAAAACGCAGACAGAGCCGCAAAACAATCCCTAAAAATACCAGACATAAGCCTTAAGCTACCAATATCTAAAGCAGAAATCAAAAGTATAAACAAACGTAAAATCACCCAAAAATGGCATAACCTCTATCAAAACACAAAAACCCAAATCCTAAAAACCCTCAAAAAACCCCTCACCAAACCAAAAATCCTCCATCCCTCCAAAAAAATCGATAGAATAATCACCAAACTCCAAACAGGACACACCAAACTAAATAACCACCTTCTAAAACTAAAAAAACACGCAAACGGGAAGTGCCCACACTGCACTCACCCAGAAACAATAGACCACGTACTACTACATTGCACCCACTACCTCACACAACGTACAACATTACAAACCAACCTAAATCCAAATAACGCTCTTACCTTAGAAGCAATCCTTAACCCTCAAAATAAAATAGAAAACTTCAAAGCCCTAGGCATTTACCTAACCAAAACAGAACTAATTAACCGTATTTAAAACTTCACTAAACCACCAACACTAAACATCCAAAAAACATCAACTCACCCCCACACACTCCCTTAGTCCCAACCACTCCCCCAAGGCATGTATTCCAAATCTCAAAATTTCAAAACTTTATATAAGCAACCACTAAACCCCCCTCCTTGGTTGCACTCCTCTTGCTACCACTTTTATACCACTAAATGGCCCGGCCGGGCCCGTGTGCGAAATACGCTCCAGTCGGAAAGCGCACGTAAAATCTCCTAATATAAGTAAGTAAGTAAGTAAGGTTTTTAAGGAGAGAAGGGGTTTGACTCTCTTACCAAGCAGACCTCTCTCCCACAGCCCAGAGTGTGTACCGACTCTCTGTGGCACCCTCAGTTATTATCTAAGTATATTGTAAGTTGTTAATTGTTCTTGTAAATAAAATTGCGATTAGTCTCCTGTGACTCTGGCTCTTTGCTGACTAATTCCCCAAGAAAACAAGCACGCCATTTGGAAGGTATTGTTCACCCAGAACAGTTCCATGATAATTTGTAAAAGCACTTGATGTCGATCTAATTATTATAGGATAACTTAGTATAAATGTTATCCCATGATACTATATTGGAAACAACTAATTGTGTGTGATTGACAGTGAAGAGGACGTCTGTTGAAAATCTGAACATTTTGGTTAGTGTGAAATTAAGCCAAAATACAGGATTTAATGGCAAAGATATGTTAGGGTAGTATTCTTAGAATTATTTGCAAGGATAACTATTGTTCGATTTCTGTTGAAAATCTGAAAGTTTAGTTTTTGTTTGATTACAGACAAAATACAAGATTTATGGCGATAATGTAGTAGAGGTAGTATTAAAAAAATTGTCAACAACGACAGCCATTGTTTTAATTGTGGTGATAATTATCAATTAAATGCAGGACTTTTATATTGGTCAACATTGATAGAGATCTACAAAAGTCTGAATGTTATCTTTACAGATTCACTGTACTGTCATAATTTGAGGAACTGGCCATGCAAAAGCCCCAAATCAGATAATATTAAACACGTCAAAGGGCTTCTCATTTGAGTTAGGTTTGAACTGAATGAGAACACTCATCAGCTTCAACAAATATTGATGAATTTAAGTCAAAATTGCCATAAACAGTTGTGGATCTGTCGTATGTAAAATCATACATAGTGCGATAACTTGCCAAGTCAGTGATTATTAAACAAGTTCAAAGGTCACAATGTTTGTGTGCTGTTTTCACTCTTTCAGGTATGCAAGTGTTTAAGGTGTGGCATGGTCAGATAGCTCTCTGGTATAATATTGAGTATTTCATCCAAATGATACAATAACCTGAGCAGCATATTGGGCATAAACTTAAAAGGATTTTACTGTATTATAGACTTAATTTGCACAATGAGAAAAATTATGTTTTTTTCCAGACCTGGAACCTTACAAGTATGCTGGCTACCCAATGCTAATTAAGACGATCAAAATGGAGACATCTGATGATCAGCTGTTCTCCAAGTCTGCTCCACTCCTTGCAGCAGCCAGTGAACTGGCTTACCACACAGTCAATTGCTCAGCACTAAATGCTGAGGAGCTTAGGAGGGAAAATGGAATTCAGGTATTTATAAATTTACCTCACCTGACAATGCTGAAACATTCGACAATTTTGCAATATTTTAAAGTTTTACCTTGATATGGCCATTGCATCAAGACCATTTTCTTATTTCTCACTAAATGTTAAAAGGTTCTGATTCTTTCTTTTGCTGATAAACCACTGGAACTATCAAGTTGAAATTTCATATACTTGTTCCCACCAATTATCAGTAACAATACTAATTTATCACATCTGAATTTGTTCAAGAAAATGAAAAATCCTTTTAAGGCCATTATTCAGACATTTTTTTCACAATTTATTATGAAATTTGGTATATATATGTGATACTATTCGTATCCTGATACAGTACTTTTATTTCACTAATTGATATTCTTTCATTTTGCAGTTGAATCACAACCCTGAATCATGTGTTATTAAATTGTATAGGACAAAGATGGGATATTGTAGGGCAGAAATATATTGGCTTTGAGGGCACTGTAAATATTATGCTGTTTATGTCAAACCATGAAATACCAGAGAATCTGTGAAAACTGTAGGTTGAACAGTTTCTGTTAATATTCACATATTTTACACCAAAATAACTTGTAACGAAATGTATTGTATGTATCGTGATTTTGAGGTTGTAAATCGATGTATTGTATCGTGGGCTTCGTATCCCATAAACACACACCATTATGAAGTCACTAAAACAATTAAGTATTTTTGTTTTAACGAGATGACCCAATCCTTCTGAACTCAGCATAAATGTTGCCTCCATCATGGCATGTTGAAGTGATTGAATCAACAAAATAAATAACTTTCTAAAAAACAAAAAAAGAGAAATATTGTTGCAGATTCAGAAGCATTGGTGAAATATAATTATTACTTTCTTGTTGATCAAATATGTTGATCAAATAATCCTCATATTGTGCAGAAAATATTTGTGTAACAGGGTTGTGATGGGAAACACAATGTCCAACGCAGGCTACAGGTGTGATTCTTCATGCCAGTAGAATAGATAATGACACCCTGTAATGTACAAAACAATAACTTTATAAAAACAATAGTACACAGGTTTAATACAAATACATATAATACAAAGCGAACATTCATTTCATTTAAACAAATGTCTATATCCTGTACATGAACAGGAAGATAATAAACAATGATATATAAAATCCTTAACAAACATTTCATCTAGTGCAATAACTCAATCCCGACCTTACTTATGTGTTACACTATAAAGATGGTTGTAAAATACATTAAAGATTACAAATACAGTTACCACTTTCTGGTAAGTATTATATTACTATCAGTAACTGATCATACATTTGGCATGATACACTATTTACAATATATATTTAGAGACATGACAAACATGTAAATTACTCGTACCCTGTGGGTGACACTGGGGTGTTTATCGTCTCCATGCAGCCGCCCTGAGTGGAAGCCATGCATGCAGCTATCAGTACACTCCTATATATACAATCAACTGTGAATAAATATATACAATATATAATACAGTTGAAGCATCATAGAAAATGTCACTGAATCCATACCAACTACACACTATCATACAATGTTTGACATTGCATACAAATCCTGTATTTACACAATTATAAAAATCTACACATTCACTCAATAAACATTCACACACAGAAATATAAAAAAAATCATGCGGAGTTTTAAAAATGTTCGCACAGACATATTTACTTAGTAACTTATCAATATAGAGACACAATCACCATACCAGAGATTTCAAAGATACTGAAATAACATTACACATAACTTAGAAAACATAAGTTATATTATTATACAAATACATACATAACTATATGCTAGCAATTCTATATATTACTAACCTTAATTATCGAATTGTTTACCCAAAGATCTGTCACTGTCCAAAATGTTAGCTGACTTCCAAAGTGGTGTTGTGTCAAGTACAAGATGGATGAAAAGTGCTTGGGTTAGAACAAGAGAAGAAACCATGACATAAACATAGACTAACCCAACCACCATTTACTTTTAAAAGTAAACAAATCCAGAAGCCCACTCTACTTTACTAACAACTTAAAATAATATTACAGAAATTAGAGGACCTCAAATAGATAAAAACATATTTACAACCAAACTGTATGCCATTACTTGTGTCTGCCACATACTTCCCACCACAGGAAAATGATGTCTCATCATTTGACCTTGCCGCTAACAAGATCGAGGAGAGTATCAGCCACTCGGTGTCACTAATCCCTGAATCTATCATCAGCTAGCAGAGAATTGAGACAGTTGGCTCGGGCAAGCCATTCTGGATTTCCATGATCAGCTATGTCAGAAAGAACATATTCTCCACTTCTCATCCCGCTGGGCTGTGACCTGGTTCTGGTTGACTGCCATGGCTGAGAAGCATCTTCTGGCTGCAAAGCAAGTTGTTTTTTGTCATCCTCACCACTTGTGGCCCCAGTCTCAGATCTGTTTTCACCTTGCTCGTTTTGGTGAACAACAGTTTCAGCTGGCTATTCTTCTTCCTCCCCTTCTTCAGTAGGATATTCATCTCCTTTTTCAGCCTCTGATGACTCTTCTTCAGTTGGCCTTTCCCCTGGGATCTCAGTAGGAACTGAAGGTTCTGAAGAAAGGGTGTAGCCAATTGCTGATGCTTCATCAGACGGATCCTAGTTAGTTTCGACAGCTATGTTCTTCCTCTACTTAGGCACAGGTTTAGGTACTTGTCGTTTTCTGGGTTTAATTACTGGTGGCATTTTGACATGCATAGAACTAGCTAGCAGCAAGAGGTTCCGATGTATCACTCTGTTCCTTCCCTCTCCATTCTCTTTACCAGCCTCAAAGACAGGTATTGATGGCTTGGGATTGGGCAGCACAACATTATACATCTTCCCCCACCTCAGCTAATTTATGTCTCTCATCAAAGGCCACAATCTTCACAAGGACTCGATTTCCTGGTTCAACATTGCAGCTCTGGCCCTCTGGTCATAGTCTTCTGCTTGGCCATAGGCTTGCCTCAAACGGTCTTTCAAGGATTTGGTATACTCAGTTATGGATTTGCTCTCCTGAATTTCCATGTCCATTCCAAAAACATGGTCAACTGGCAGTCTTGAATGTCTTCCAAACATCAAGAAGAATGGGGTTATAGTCATTGACTCATGGCTTGGACGAGTGGACCTACATACGCCTTCCAGTTCTTTTTTTTATTTGTTCCAAAGTGACAAGCATATCACATTGGATGGTATGGCGTTGTCCGGGACTTTTCTGTCTTCATAAGCTGGCACAGTTCCTGCATCACCTCTTCTGTAATATTGGCTCCTTGATCAGAATGGATTCTTTTTGGAAGACCTTGATGGATGACAAAGTTGCTGAAGAAGGTTTCTGTTGTTGTTTTTGCTGACATCTTCTTGGTTGGGTAAGCTTGGGCAAAGTGAGTGAAGTGATCTGTCACAACCAAGACATGTTCTATTCTTCCTTTACAGGTTCTTGGGAAAGGAAGTCCATGTATCGTTCCATTAGATGCTGATAAGTGGAGCGTTGGTAAGTCAAAATGGCATACAATTGTACTCGTAGAATCCTACAGGTCCAACAGTGAAGGCAGTTTTCTGTTAATGAGTTTCCTTGTCTCCACTTAGTGATAGCCACTTTTCATGTCAAGAACTGATAAGAACTTGTTTCCACCCAAACTATCCAATAAATCTTCAATCCTTGGCAGAGCATTGGAATAATTAATGGTTTGGTCATTAAGCTGGCGAAAATCCACACACATCCTGAGACGTCCATCTTTCCTTCTAGCTAGTACAATATAGGATGCCCTAGGACTGTGTGACTTCCTGATAAATTCAGCTGAGAGTAGTGTTTGAAGACTTCATCATACATTGCAGGTGGTATACGACAATGTCTCTGTATGAAGGGAAGTTCATCAACAATGTCTATCCTGTGATGCACCATGTTACCATGTCATCATCATGTTTGGAGAAGATGTCTGTGAGGTTCTTGTTATTTGTGCTGCCAACAAATCCAAGGCAGTGTTCTGGTCGCTCCAGTTCTGTATCTCCTAATGCTCTAGTCCTGTAGGCTAGGTACCAAGGAGTGTGAAGGTTGGCCTTCCGAAGAAAACGTGTTTCATGTTGTTGTTTGCACTCATCAAAGAAATACACATCAGTTCCCAGTAAAGCAGGTCCCTTGGCAGTTTCACTCTACACCCAACAGCAATATGTCCAAGGTATCCACAGCATTAAAAATAGATAGGCTCCTGTGGTTCTGGCTGCAGTCCATATCCATCAACTTGAGGTGGTTGTGGTGGTGGAATATGCTGGGGCTTATATGGCACTTGTGGACTCAGGGGCACATGCTGGCTGTAAGAGGGCTGTTGCTGAGGCATAACAGATCGCATCATGCGTAGGGAGCGAGGCTATCAAATGTGATGGTCTATTCCATTTCCTATAGTGTTTGCTGTTCCTCTTCCAGGAAGTCTGCAGAATGCCTTGAGAGGCTGGTAATGGTTGATGAGGCTGTTGAAGAAAAACTTGTTCTGAATGTTGACGTTGCTCCTTCAGGTCGGCTAGCTCTGTCTTGATTTCCCTCATCATGGCTTTAAGGTCCATCACTTCTTCCTGAGTTGTGGCAGCAGCAGTAGAAGAGTCAGAGATAGAGGCCATCTGGATGGTAGCTGTCTTCTTTCTTGTGCTGTGAGTTTGATCTCTCTTCATATCAAACTCAACTTTCCTCAAACACAGCCGGAGCTTATCAAAGTTGAAAATATTATCATACTTATGGGCAGCAAAGGCTCTTCAGCACAGGCTTCAGGCCATCTTGCTTCGGAGCATTTTGTCCTGTTCCTCTAAGTTCATCTGGCATTGGGAGGCTATCTGGTACATCAGGTTCTCCAGGCGGCAACCCCATGCAGTAACATCTCCCTTATTTCCTTGGAAAGTAATCTAAACCTGTGACATCAGGGTTTCAAAGTTCCGAAAGCAGAATGGGTTTTGAACAAGAGGTCCTCCACTGTGGCAGTGTGTCCCAGCTTCATAGCAACTAGTGTGGCCTCTCCCTTCAAAGATTTTCTGACAACCTGGAGTATCACATCTGGAAAAAGAGTCTTTGACTGTAGGAGACAGTCAACTTCGTATTCCCACAAGTCAATTGGAATGTCCTTTCAAGTCTCACTGCTAAAGAATGGTATCTTGGGAAAGTGGTGGTATGTAATGCCAGATGTTGAAGGTGGAACAGTCAGTTTAGGATAAGTTGCTGAGGAGGTGCCTTTTACAATAGGTCATCCTGTTGTGCCATTCTCTGAATCTAGTCTTTAAAATCGTCTGGATTCTCAACCTTTGGAGACAGCCCCATCTTTGTTAACAAAGTCAACAAACTTTTCATCTATTCTTCAAGATTTATGATGAAAGAATTGAATGCAGTTCAGTGGAAGGATTACAAAATCCAAATGAAGATCACAAAAGCATGTAAACAAGATGTGCAAAGACTATGAAATGTTTCAATGCACAGGAGCAGATTTTATAGATCGATGTGATCACCCATTGATAACTGAAATCTGAAAATGAATAGATTTGATGACCGAGTCACAACTGCAATCTGAAATAAATACAGCTGCAATGGAATAAAAAAATTAAAAAATGGATTACAATAATATATCTCAGAATAAAAAGACCAACATCTGGGATAAATGAAAGTACCCAAGCTTACTAATACCCGGTATGAATATAATACCCACAAGACAACACAAAGGAATAGATCACAGCATGCTGTTGAGTAAATGTGAAAATAAGTGATTGGGATAATGTTTTCAAACTTAGTCGTAAGGCAGTCAAAAAAACTAATTCCTACGTTATATTTTTAAATCAATACCTATCCAAGTTTATTTACATAAGTGTAGAGAGGTAAAAAAAGCAAATAGAACTGATTCCAACACACATACTCACATGATTATAATTAAATATGAAACTAACTGAACTAAACTAATCTTAATAAACTATGTCTACATGCCATAAGCAAACAGACATAATTCCAAAGTATACAAGCTGGGTGATCACCCAAAAATGATCATAACAAATATTAGTACCCAGATAAATATCGTGAATTAAAAATGTAGATAAATGTTGAATGTAATTACAATTACGAAAACCTTACATGGATACTGATAATTGGAATACAATAGGGAAAAACTTAAGCTGGCAAAGATGTAGATCTATATTACAAAAAGATACTATGCAGTAATATAAATTACATGATTGATTCCAAATTTACAAACTGTCAGATACATGTATGAGAAATATGCTATGTTTACGGGAATAACAGACAAGTTACATTATAGAAACAAAATACACAACTTAATATCCACAAATGTCAATACACAGAAGTCAATCACAGATTCCGTTAAAGTTTATGGAATCACATGGCTTGGCAGATCACACTACATGTGGATGTTCATTGAAAGGAGGGAGAGCTGTCTATCTCTCAAAGAGGCTGTCTGACGTTTCTAAGGCAAATATCCTCATTGGGGACTCCATTTTGTAACCGAATTTGTGATGGAAAACACACTGTCCAACACAGGCTACGGGTGTGATTCTTTTTTGCTAGTGGAGCAGATAATGACCCCCCTATTGGTGACACTGGGGTGTTTATCCACTCAAAGCAGCCACCTTTAGTGGTAGCAATGCAGCTATCAGTACACTCCTTAATTATTGAATTGTTTATCCAAAGATCTCTCATTGTCCAAAATGTTAGCTTACTTCCAAAGTGGTGTTGTGTGATTGATGAAAAGTGCTTTAGTTCGAGCAAGAGAAGAAACAATGACATAGACATGGACTAACCAAACCACCCTCTACTTAATAAGTCAACTCATCCAGGAGCCCACAATAGATATTAAACTAAGAAACTACTTTACTAACAGCTTAACATAATATTACAGAAATTACCTCAAGGACCTCAAATAGATAAAAACATTTTTTTTCCAACAATTGATTCTGCAACATTTGGATATCTAGGTTTTCTACAGTGCAGTGACAATATTTTTAGTAGAATTGGTTTGGATCTTTAGAAGTGGGACTCTGTTCCATGTTCCACGTTCCAAATATATGTATATGTATACATATAACAGACTACTTAAATGGCATCTGACCCTGTGACCCCAGAAACTCCAGCACTGACCTTTGCAGTTGCTTTTCTACCCTACTCTTAATACCTTCTCGGATACCACTCGACCAATGAAGCTGAAATTTAACGTTTCCTATGTAGACATCTTGTTAAGTTTAAATCATCTTGACTTTATTTATTTTAATTACGTTTAAAGATATTTTAAAAATCAAATTTCATTAATATTATTAAAATCTTATTCTCAAAAACTAACTCATCCATTGAAGGTGAACTTCTGTGCCTTTGCATTATGCATTTCTTCTCCGTGTTATGTATTTTCAACTGAAAATAGGTCTTCAGCAACCCATGCTTGCCTTAAAGGCGACTATGCTTGTCATACAAGGCGACTATGCTTGTCGTAGGAGGCAACTAACAGGATTGGGTGGGGCTGGCTCGCTGACTCCCCGTCACATAGCTGGAATATTGCTGAGTGCAACAAACAAACAAACAAACAATCAAATGATATATGTTTCAAATATCTTAGATTGTAACCTATAACACTGCCACAAAAATTTGTGCCATGATTTTTATCAAAGATATTTTCACATAAACATCAGAGTTATGGCATATACTTCATACTGTGTTGAAGGTGCTACAAGAAGCATTTGCACGTTGTGTGAATGTCCTCTCACAGTCAAGCAAGGCTGATGACACAGCTGTTCAGGTCAGTATATCAGATTTTATCAGCAGCCCTTCTGGAAATATGCAAATGTTTTCCATGTTTGAATTATTCAGCTGTGATATAGAGACTGTTGAACATTAAGAAACATGGCACATCCTTTTTGGGACACCTTACCATTCTTGTTTCAAGATAAAGGTCAGGATCACTGTTATGGTCATTCACACAAGACGAAATTTGTCAACAGTTTGTTCAGTAGTATGTGACTTAATATTTATGACTCACCTGATTGAAAGTCAAGTATATAACTATAAGGATCTGGTGGGCATCAGTGCCTTCCCACTTTTGATCTTAATATAAAATGTTATGTCATCTGAGAATAATGAAACTTATTTGTACAACTTCAGATGAGATTTATTTTCAAAACAACCAAATGTTAGATGATTCAAATGACCAATGCATATTACAGGTTCCATTCTAGCATAGATGGATAGAAATGCTTCCTTGTTGTTGCAGGTCTGCATGTATGTTGGAAAGTGCTATGCAGTTGCCTCTCAGTTTGAAGGTTGTAGGGAAAAGATTCAAGAAGTGTCTTCCATCATCAAAGATCTTTGCAGAATATTGTATTACAAGGTAAACCTGAGTTTTTGTAACAATATTCTGTAAAATAGTTGTGTAGAATACTCTGACGATAACAGCAGAATTAGGGATGATCGCCCCAAATGAATAAATGTTGTAAGTTCGCATACATTTTTTTGTGATGTCATGAAAAATGGATGACTGTAGTCCTATGAACTGATTGTAATATTTGAATGGCATGTACTCTACATGCAATTATCTTCCCGGATGTTAATTACTCAATATCAGGGTCTTTGTCTTTGTGTCAAGTGATAATTTCGTTCGTTATCTCTATTCAGTCTCACATGTTATATTGTATGCCTAGATACATTATTTTATATGTGGTTAATGGTATAATGCGGACAACAGGGTTAGAAACTAACAGTTTTTGTCCACTAGTCCTTATAATGATAACATATAGCAAAACCCTTAAAATGGGCCAATTTCTACTAGTCCTTAGGATACCTTTACTATTGGGCAGTTGGGTAAGGACAACAGAACTAGTGCCAATTTCTAACGCTGGACAAGTTGATAGAGACTAGTGTATTGTACTTGTATCAAAGTTTATTCTTAAAGTTATTAATGGAGATCAGTTTGTTATGACGTTGGTTTGTTAGAAACATTATTTTCATTGTTGGCGACAATGCGTTCATATGACGTCAAGTTGTGATGCGCCTCTTCACAAACTGTGAAAAGAAATGTCACAAACTAGCCAATCAGTATAAAGCAAAAATTATAATGGTCAGTGAGAATTACTGAAAAGAATTGTCACCTATATCCCTCATGCCCATTTTGGTAAGTCTGTATTGTTAGGTAAGATGGCCATAGCATCCAAAATGAAAACCCCATTTTGGGCACCTGTCATCTGTTTGGTCCCTGTGTTAATGTGTATAATCAAGGATTCCTCAATATACCGGTAGTGTGGAATTGAATTCCATGTGAAAGTGGTGTATTGTGTAATCAATGAAGCACCCTAAAAATATCTTGCTACCTGTCCCCCCAGCTCCAATGGTTGTCATCCAGTTGAGCATGTATACCATATTTTTTGAGTATAGTGCCACCCAAGTATAATGCGCACCCCCCTCCAGCGGATTCAGTATTTTGGAAAAAAATATTTCGAATATTATGCGCAGAAAAAAATTACACCGTACCCCTTCAAACGGTTGAAAAGAAACTTGGTCAGTACAAATTTGAAATTTGAGATAAAAAATCACCAGACATGTTGATTTACAGTATAAATTGTATTTTTTGTTCCGCTTTGCAATGTTTTACATCCAGGGATTAAGATTACCATGTGTATTTCCTCGTAAACTAAGCTGGATACAGCAATCAGCTGTACACATGTTTTCTTGGAATCTACCGGTGATTCAGTTAAAACATACCCAATGATAGAACTTTAAAGGATTTTGATGCAAGGTTTGGGAAAAATTGTATCTGAACTTATTTTTTTATCAGGAATAATATATTCCAATATAATGTTATTTGTAGTTGCAGCTTTTACTAAATATATTTAAAATAATAATAACCCTAAGCGTAGCACTTCAGTGCAGCTGTTCGCTATTGCCGGTTGTTGTTTTTTTCACTTGGAAAAATTTGACCAGTCACCGTCGAGGCTCCCACGCACGTCATCGCGAGAACTACATGTTGACATGAATCGTGACTACAACAAATATGACTTTTAATGAGTCAAAGTATGGCATTTATGTTATATGTATCCATTCTCTGTCAACTAAAGTTCCTTAAAATGTGCCAACCGTTGTTGCTGGTAATAACTGTGAGTTGTGCGATTGTCCGATCGCTTCACACACGATTTCGCCGAAATTGATTAAAGCAATATTAAAAGGAATTTTGAATAAAATTAATGAAGTTACAAACACGAGTCCAAATATTCAATGAACACTTTTTATAACCAGACAGTGTAATTACAAGAAAACATTGTGTACTCCAGTACAGATTTGTTGGTATTTCTGGTGTTATATGCTCACGGTAATGTCTTTGAGGAAACAACATCAAAACTCATAATGGCGTGTATAATGCGCACCCCCTTCTACACAGCTGTGTTTTTTGGGGAAAAGGTGTGCACTATTCTCAAGAAAATACAGTAATTGGATGGTTTCCCTGTCTAGCATATCAGCCAACACGTCACTTAAAGGGGCACTGATCTAACGCAATTCCCCGGAACTGGTTGTTGCCTTTGTTATTGTTTTTTCCCTGTGAGTACCCGAATGATATAGCAGAAACCTAGACTAGTTCGCGACCTGTGCTGCACAATTGGTAAGCTCATTTGTCACTTTTATTGATAGTATAAGGGCGTATGGTCACATTGATCAACAAAATGAAATACAGTTTTGGAAATAATAAGGAAATGTAGGTATATTTGTGGGTAGCATCGGTAATGGTGATGAAGTTTTGATAAATCACTTGCTTGGTAATTGTGCGAATTTCGTTTACACTATTTTGACTTGCAACACAAAGTAAATATTTCTCCTGAGCATTGCTTATTTTATCATGTTTATATTTTTACAGTCAAAATGTGCAAAATTTTCACTTAGGGAATTTATTAAACGCCTGAATATTCAGTTATTTTACAAATTGACTGAAAAATATGTCCTTCTGTATTATTATGACAACGAATTCCAAACATTTTTATGTTTAATATCATCACCAAGAGACTAAAAATGTTGCGATGAAAAGTACATTTCTATTATTGTTTGGCTTCTAATCCTACATAATAATCTATTGTGATGTTTTTAGGCCCTATTGATCATCTTTATCAATTTTGATCAATCTGTTAAAGAAATGGACAGATTTTTCAGTCAAAATGACTGAAATATTTACACATTTTATAAATTGCCTGAGAGATTCACATTTTACAAATTGACTGTAATATACAAAGGAAAGGACTTGTGAAAACAATGTTTATCGCGCATCGAAGAATTTCCCAACCAAGACGTAGAGGAACAAGAATAAATCTGTCCAATGCTACTGCAAATGAAGGAAAACAAAATGCGAATATCATAATTACAACCTACCAAACTTATGTGTATAATTTTAGGCAGCTTCCATGTTCGAAGAATGTATCCATGAATATCCACACAAAGGAAATATCCCACACGTCTGCAGCTGTACAAAGAAACGTATTCAATGTCACGTGTCTCTGTAACAATAAAATATTTTAAAATATATATATCGTTTTGGGATATTATAACCCGTGTTCATTTCTCAGCTGATCACTTAGATTGTTTCAGGTGCTTCACATAGGTGTCAAGTCTCAAAGGTCGGCTGAGAAAGCCCACGTGACAACTATTTTCATAACGTCCACGGTTCCTAAAAAAATCCATTGAGTTAGATAACAATGAGCAATTAATCAACGTATTAGCAGTTAACCCTTTGAACAAAGTACATGTATGTTATTTTTACATCAGCACTTCACGCAAGGATATGAGTGTATTCCCTTTGTTTTAGTAAACCTAGACATGTAAACACTCACTTTTGACATATCCATGGTGCAAAGATAACAGTGATTAATCAATCAATGTATTTTCTGTTAATCCTTTGATGACTACGAACAATCCGCTGATTTACAAAAAAAGTAAATCAACTGATCATTCATCTCTTGCTGGGCTGCCATATGCATATTACATAATACACATTTCACCTCACTTCAAACCTGGATTTAGATTGAATAATTACCCCAGATACAATAAATGCCAAATGGGAATCTTCGGCAGGTATTCGGAGTGGTGCTACCACTAATTATACCTGTAATAAATTCATTAACTGAGCATCAAGTGAATGACGACAAATACACAAGTGTAGGGTTATACCAGAAAACTTGGATGACAACAAGGGAGTAGTAATCGTATTATCGACTCAATCCGAAATCCGAAAATGCTTTCACTGCATTGATACTATAACAATCAGAGGTATTCCCAAATGACGACAACCAATGAGCTCCACCGTTCTTTTTGTCTGTTTGTTTAGGCTTTAGAAATTAATTAACATGCGCCCTTTGTCGAAATCTTTATAGATCGCGGTTAACCAATCAGTGTTCAAAAATGGGTAAAACAAATATTGCCTCCAAGCAGACACCATATATTATATGGTCTTTGCTCCAAGTTTTTTATTTGTCCTTGCAGACGGTAGCCCAGTCTTTTGTCACGCTCAGTTGTGTTGTGTATCATCCGGGTACTCACGGGGGAAAAAAACAATAACAAAGGCAACAACCAGTCCCGGGGAATTGCTGTAGATCAGTGCCCCTTTAACGAATTGTATCAGTTTCCTAAGGATAGGGATGGAATGGGAAATATACCATTAGTGCTATTTTGCTTTATTTGTTTTTTTATTTCTTTGACCAAACACATTTTTTATGTGTAGCCAGCTGCAGGTCTATATACACTGCAAATGCTTACTTTACATGTTCTGTTTGATTCAAACATTCTGTTATTGCAGGACCTGACAAAGCTATGCTGTGTTGTCTGTGAGAGTGTAAGTGCATTTTGTGTGGACTTCTGGCTACAAACCAACCTTCATCAGGCTGGTGTGCTCTGGCATCTTCTTCTGTACCTTTTCAACTACGACTACACACTGGAAGAAGGTGGTGTGCAGAAGAGTGGAGAGACTAATCAACAGGTTTGCCTTACTCCTTTTTCAACCTTTCAGTGCATGTATTTTTTTGAGTATGTAATTCTGATGAATGATGTCTGTGAAATCTGTTCATAACATTCCAATTCAAAATATTTTGTGATCACCATAGCAGCCACTTTGACATGTCAATCGGGCTCATTATGTAGCCATGTGAGGAAGTATTTATCTGTGCGTGATTCAATACACCATATGTTATGGCGCATTGTCAGCGTGGAGTAAATGTCGACCCCTACAATTTAACCGAGGGAAATCACTACCTGTATCATATGCATAGGCATTGGACACCCATTGGATGTTAATTTTTGGTTAGAATATTGTTGATATTTATACATTCAGGGTTTTACCTAAACGTACAAAAGTTGGGCTCAAGGGGACCCCCGATAATTCATTTTAAGGCTCCTTATGGGCAATATGAGGGTCCTGTAAGGTAATGAAATGGTGGAGTGTACTGTAGGTGGAGTTGATTACTTCAGAGCCTGGTATGAATCAATTATCATGTGGACAATGGTCATGATTGATGGACGAAAAAACAGATACCCATAACTGCTCTTATTGCACTGTTAGTGCTATGAATATTATTGTATGTCCTTTGGGATACTGTATATATTATTTTTTCACACAATTTGGCATAGAAAATGGAAAGTATCAGTATTAATGTTCTCGAAAAAAGATGTATAATTTGTATTGAAGAAGAAATTCATTTTGTTATGAAGTGTCCATTTTATGCCTATATAGAAAAATGTCTTTAAACTTGTACTTAGAGCATTCAAAATGTGAAGCAGCTATGTCACCTTGGTAAATGTCTCTTCAGAACTTACATGTTAAGAACAAATTTCATTAAGTAATACGTTACCACTGTTATACCGAGGCTGTTGTCTCCAACAACTGCTGCTATAGCGAAATCTACCACAGAGATCTCAATTACCTCATGCAGCACGTGCGTAGCCACCTAGCTGCCATGTGACACCCTTCACTCTTGTCTCCTTCACTTGCGTAGCAAGACGTGTAATCCTCTGCTGAAGCGTTCCTCGAATATTCGGTGATTTTTATTATAGTTTATTCTCTAATAAACTGTGCTTTTATGGGGCGTTGCGGTAGCTACGCTTGGATATAATTTTCCCACCTAACGGAGAATTTTTCCCGCCCTTTTTTCTACATACTTGTGGGGTTCGCGTATGCACATTGTGTTTTACGTTTCCCCTGTTCTTGTATGTTTTGGGGGTTAACATCACTTATTTCTCTATATGTTATATGTGTATGTTATATGTTCACATTGTTCGTTTATTTTCTTGTGAATATGCTCGTTTGTGATGCGTGCGTTGTAACCATGTTTTGCTCTTTGTTCATAGAATTAAACAAACATGTCTGACATGGAAATACCCCTGCTCCTCGGTGTTGCGGAGTGTGCCGCAAATTCTTGTTGTCCCGGGATCCCCACGATCGTTGCCCGCGGTGCAGGGTTCCTTGCGCGGACACCCAGTGCATCCTGTGCAAAGGTCTGGGGCCTGCGGAGTTACCGACTGTACGTCCAGTCCGTCTCCACCCCTGTGGTGGCCGGTTCGTCCGGTCAGGGTCACCGTGCGGGTACCACCTCCTCGGCTGCGTCGGATCCCTTAGCGGCCCTCGGGCTCTCCGGGGATTCCGTCGCCGTATTGTTGTCTAAACTTGTGGACTCCAAGCTGGCGGCCTCTTCGGTGGCCGCGGTTCGGACGCGGGGTCCACCGGTACGACGGCGGCTGCCGTGGCTACCGGTCCTTCCCCCGAACCGTTGCTTCCGCTATCGGTTAAGGACCGCGTGGCCATGGTTTATGACCTCTTCGAGGACATGCCCAAGCCCCTGCCGATACCGCGGGGAATCCACGGCTCCGTGGGTTCCTCCGAGGTGTACGACGAGACGTCCGACAAGGCTTTCCCGGCATCAACCTTGCTGCGCGGGATTAAGCCTTCTTTGGAAAAGGCCTTCGCGGCTGCCTCCGGTCGGGGTCTCCCGCTACCTCCACAGTCGTGGAGAAAAGGGTCTTTCCCCGTGCATGACCTTGCCGTTCCCGAGGCTGGTCCTTCCGCGGAAGCCCATGTGGAGCGTTTGGGGGTCCGTGCCCCACCGGTTGCCACGGTACCACAAGGTACCTTGCAACAGCTGGACACCCTCACTCGACACTCCATGCTAGCAATGTCTCGCGGAGACACATACCTGGCTGCAGCGGCCAGTCTGGTCGAAGGTTCTCCCACGGACCGAGACCAGCGCATTTACAACTGCTTGCTCGGTTTAAATGCTTCCCTGGAGTACGTTGCTGGGGCTTCGGCCTTTATTTCCCGCACGTGCCATTTTCTCCGGCGCCAGTCGTATCTGGTTGCCTCAGGGTTGGACGCTGCCAATCAGGAGATGCTACTTTCGCAGCCTTGGTCTGCTCGGACCCTGTTTAAGAACAAGATCCCTGGGGTTCTGAAATAACAACAGGCCGCTGTGTCTGCCGAGGCCTCTCGGCACACACTGGATCTTGTGGGGTCCTTGCATAGGCGCCTGGGTGACATCCGGCAGGCCTAAGGGGTCGGGTTCTTCTTCCTCCGGGAAGAAGCCCCGCTCTGAGGGCTCCGGTAAGGGTTCTCAGCAGCCCTTTCGCGGGAAGAAGGGGAACTGGGCGAAGCCCAAGACGTCTAAGGACGGCAAGGGCCCCTCCAGGTGACTCTTATTGGAGGGGTTCGTATGCCGACAGCACCAACTTCGGTTCGCCCGTCGGGGAACCCGAGTCACTTGGCCCTGGATAGTTGTGCCTGCCGCAGCCTGTCAGGCCCCCCTCTCCTTCCCCAGTGGGAGCCAGACTTCAGACTTACTGGGAGAAATTTGGAACAAGTGTTCGACGACCCGTGGGTGGTCAACACGATATGGTACGGCTATCGGCTCGATCTCAAAGCGAATCCACTGCTCACCGTTGCCCCGTCGGCAGGTTTCTATTCGGAAACCGATCTTCCCTTCCTTGCCGATGCCATCGGCAGGTTGGTGGAGAAGAGGGCAGTTCGGGAGTAAGCTCTACCAGAAATAACACCGGGGTTTTACTCCAGGATATTTCTCGTTCCCAAGAGGGACAGTGCCGAACTCAGAATGATTCACAACTTGAAATCGTTCAATGAGTTCTACCTGCGCAAGCCGCCCAAGTTCAGAATGTTGAGCTTGGCGAACCTGAAAGCACTGATCATGCCGGCCGACTGGCTCGCTTCGATCGACCTGAAGGATGCTTATCTGCATGTTCCGATTCCCCCGGATCATCACAAGTATCTCAGGTTCGTCTTTCAAGGCAGGCACTATGAGTGGGTTGTCCTCTCATTCGGTCTTTCATCTGCTCCCTGGCTGTTCACCCGGTTAACCACCCCCATAGTGGGGTTCCTCCACCAGAGGGGTGTCCGGTACTTCGCGTACCTGGACGATTCGCTAGTAGCAAATCGAATGACGGACACCCTGTCACGCCATCTCGTTTTCGCACGTCGGCTCTTGGAGCAATTGGGGTGGATTATCAATCTCCCCAAGAGCGAGTTAACCCCCTTCTCAGAACTTGCAGTTCATCGGAGGTCGGTTCGACACGGTGTCCCATTGCCTCTTTGTCCCCCCAGACCGGTGGCACAAGATTCAGGAGATGATTGCCAAAGTCTTAGAGTTGCAACAGACTGTTCACTTTTGGGAACAGCTGTTAGGACTACTTGTATCAGCCCAGGACTGCACCGAACAGGGTTGACTCCAACTCCGCCCGCTGCAACGTTTTTTAATCCAGTTGTTAGCACAGGAGGTGAACAGTGCGACCGTCGCCCTCCCGGATCGGCTCCGACCGCATCTGGAGTGGTGGACGGTCCCTTACAATGTCTTATCAGGAGTCTCTATGCGGCCCTAACGGGCCACGTTGAACCTGTATGCAGACGCCTCTAGTGGGCTGGGGCGCCCATCTAGAGGGGGAGGTGAGCTCGGGGCTGTGGTGCGTAGACGAACTAGGTCCTCACATCAATTGTCTCAGCAGTGATAAACGAAGTCAATCACTGGAAGCATCGTCTCGTCGACGCCCGGCTCATGCTGGCGACCGACAACACGACGGTAGTGTCCTATGTGAACAAACTGGGGGGAACCCACAGTCACTCGCTACTCGATCTCACGTTCGAGTTTTACGCTCTGGTGGACAGTGTCCCGTGCCAGATACGCGCCCGTCACATCCCAGGTGTGCGGAACGTACTGGCCGACGCTCTATCGAGGCCTCAGGATCCGAGCCCAACAGAGTGGATGCTGAACCCAGTAGTGTTTCAGTGGCTGTGCGAATGTTTGGGTCGTCCGATGGTCGACCTGTTCGCAACACGGTTCAACAATCAACTCCCGTTGTTTGTATCACCAGTCCCGGACCAGAGGGCCATCGATCACGATGCTCTCGCGTTAGACTGGACGGGCTTGGACGCTTATGCTTACCCGCCGACAGCGTCGAAACCACACATTCTAAGCCGCCTCCGAGGAGTTCGCCTCCGAGGAGTTCGCCTCCGAGGAGTTACTGATCGCGCCCATGTGGCCGAACAGATCGTGGTACCCTGACTTGCTGACCCAGGTCACGCAGTCGCCACTTCCACTGCCTGTGAGACCGGATCTCTTGATCCACCCTCACACCCGTCAGCTTCATCCAAACGCAGGGCAGTTCAATCTGCACGCGTGGCTGTTGTCACCGAGCGTCTGAGGAGTAAAGGTTTTTCTCGTCAGGCGTCTCGGGCATACGTTTGTATGCATCGTGATTCTACCCAGAAGGTATATAATGCACGTTGGGTTATTTTCACGAAGTGGTGTTGTAAACACCACATTCATTCGCCAGATAAGGTATCTGTGCAGGATATTGCTCGTTTCATATCTCACTTGCGTGAGACCCGGAAACTCTCCGGGGGTTCCATTGCCAACTATGTCTCGTCTGTTGCTACGGTACGGGACATTGCTATGGGTACCAGTCTCTCCAAAGAGCCGGTAATAC